AACAGTAGCCAGGTGCGGTGGCACATACCTGTAATCCCAGCACTTGGGAGGCTGAGGCAGGAGAATCACTGCAAGTTCAAAGCCAGCCTAGACTACATAGTTGAACGCATGAACTACATAGTATAAGACCTGTCTCAAAAAAAGACCCACAAAACAAACAAACAAAAAAGAATCTGAGCAACAAAAGCAATGGGAAATAAAATTTAAAATAGTAAAACCAAGTGACATGTTGATATTGTTTATCAGTTACAACAAATGTATCATACCACTGGTAATAATGTAGGAAACTGGGTATTTGGTATATAGGAACTCTCTGAACTATCTTTGCGTTTGTTCTATAAATCTAAAACTATCCTAAAAAGGGTAGTTTATTTTTAAAGATACTATCCACAATACCAATTTAAAACATCGAATACTTAGAAGTAAATCTGATGAAAAACATGTAAGATCTCTATCTTTAAAACTACAAAATGTTGCTGAGTGAAATTAAGGACTTGAATAAATTAAAAGATTTACTATGTTCATGGATTGGAAGACTTTGTTGTTAAGACATCAATTCTCTATAAAATGATATATAGATTTATCACAGCTCCCTATCAAAATTCAAGCAGGCTATTTTGAAGAAGTAGAGAAGAAAAATGTACAAAAACCCACAATTTTGAAAAAGAAGAAAAAAATGATTTTAAGACTTACCATAGGGCTGGGTATACATATATGCTTAGCTGATTTTAGCACAAAAGTGATAAGCAATAAAATATAGAAAGGAAAACTTTTGTAACAATCATGGCTGTAACAGTTGATTTCAAATATGGGAAACAACCTTAACCCCTGTCTCATACCATACATAAAAATCAATTCAGGATGAATCAGAGACTTAAATATAAAAGCCAGTACCATAAAGCTTCTAGAAGAAAAACAGGAAAAGATCTGTACAACCTTGAGTAAGCAAAGATTCTTTGTTCAGGATATGAAAAACTACTAACCACCAAAGGAGAAAAACTTGGATAAATTGGTGTTCATCAAAATTTAATTTTCTGCTCATCAAAAGATTTCATTAATAGATAAGCCATTGACTGAGGAAAATATTTGCACTATATGTGATAAGAGACTAAACCCAGTGTACATCAAAAACTCTTGGGCCGGGGATTTAGCTCAGTGGTTCCGCCACCTGCCTTGCAGGCACAAGGTCCCGAGTTCAATCCCCAGTACAAAAAAAAAAAAACCCCTATATAATCATCAATAAAAGGTGAATAACCCAATTCAAAATGAGCAAAAACTTGAACAGATTTTTCACAAAAGGAGATATATACAGCTGTCTAGCTAGGTGTGGTGGTGCATGTCTTTAATCTCAACACTCTGAGAGGCTGAGGGCTGGGGATGTTAGTTCAGTGTAAAGGCCTTGGGTTCAATCCCCAGTATGCGCCCCCCTTCAAAAAAAAAGTCCAATAAGTAAAGGAAGAGGTGCTCAGCATCATGAGTTATTAGGAGAATGCAAATTAAAACTGGGACATAGCTATCAGAACATCTAAAAAGTAAATAAGACTGGCAGCATCAGATATTAGCAAATATATGGAAAAGCTTGATTGTGCATATGTTAATATGTAAAGTAATATAGTATAGCCATTTTGAGAAGCAGTTTGGCAGTTTTTATAAACCATTATGACCCAGCAATTCCATTTCCAGGTGTTTACCCAAGATAAATGAAAATACAGTGTAACCATAAAAAGATGGACAGGATGTTTATAGTAGCCCTATTTGTAAGAGCTCAAAATTGGGAGCAATCCAATGTCCCTGAACAGGAGAATGGATAAATAAATCATGGTATATCCATACAATGGACTATTCATTGACAGTAAAATGAGTAAACTGCTGATACCCCTAACAATGTGAATGAATCTCAAAAACATGTTAGATGAAAGAATCTATAGTATATGGTCGTATTTATTTAAATGTATTCAAACATAGGCAAAACTAATCTATGCTAATAGAAATCAGATAATACATGGAAGGGGATTGATGAGAAAGAGGAAAAGAAATATGAGAGCTTTCTGGGCATATGTTCTATGTCCTATTATTGGTTGTTACAGAGATGTGTATGATGTCAAAACTTATCCAACTGAGACACTACAGATATGTGCATTTTTATAAGATGATTATATTTCATTTTTTAAAACAAGACAAGAGACATATCAGTCCATTGCCACATATGGTCCTTATTTGGGTCGTGATTCAAACTGTTAAAAACTTGTGTGACAGTGAGGGAGATGTGAACACTGACTGTATTATGTAGTGTTGATATTAAAGGAATTATTAATTTTGTCTGAATAAGTTCTTATCTTTGAGAGCTATATACTGAAATATTTACAGACGGAATGATAGAATGTCTGGGATTTGCTTCAAAATAATTCAAGAGCTGGGGAAATGGGTAAGACTATAAATGAAACAGGGCTGGTCATGTTATAACAACTGGTGATGCTGGCCGAAAGGCAGTTGGTATGTTGACTGTACTGTTCTGTATTTTTTTAAATATTTGGAATTTTCCCAATTAAATAGATATTTAAAGGAATATATACTCCTAAAGTGTTTCAGATTTTATAGCAATATATATGATGAAATTTTCCCATAATCTCATCCCTCAGAACAACCACTTTTATGTATTTAACTAATATATATTATTCTCCTAAACATTTTTGTCATTATCTTTTTAAATAAAATTGGGCCCTACATGTTATTTTATAACAAAATAACTTTTTAAAAAAACTAAATCAGGGTGGAGGGGTGAAGGGCACACAGGTAATTGGGAAAAAATAAGAACCAAGATACATCATGTACAGGTATAAGCACCCAATGATAAATGTAAACGTATTGCATACCTAACATGTACCAATAAAAGAATTTAAGGAAGAAAAAAAAACCTAAATCATAGGGCCCAGGATTTAGCTCAGTGGTTGCACCACCTGGCTGGCAAGTGCAAGGTCCGAGTTTGATCCCTGGTACCAAAAAAACCCCAAAAACAAAAAATAAATCATAGACATCTTTCCATATCACTATTACCTCAACTTTTTTAACACCTGAATAAGGTGTTCCATTCATTTTTTTCATTCCTTCCACAGATCTTTATTAAGCACATATTATGTATCTGGTGTTAATTAACAATGGTGAACATAATAAACAAGTTTCTTTCTGTCAGGAAACTTAGAACTAATGGGAGAGGCAGATAATAGCAAGTGAGCCAAGATTTAACTTCTGTTTCACGGTAAGAGTTAGGAAGGAAACAAATGCTGCAGTGCTGGAGTAAGGAAGTTGCCTGTGGAAGAGAGTGGTGAAGGAGGGCCTCTCTGAGGAGGTGGTGTTAAAGCAGAGACGTGGGGTGAGGAGAAGACACTGAGTGAGGGGCTTGGAGAGTTAGAAGTGGCAGTGCAGTGAAGCAGTGAAGCTCTTTGAGTAGGGGTGAGCAGGGAGCATTTCAGGGAGAGGAAGTAGAAGTGTGGACTGGGAGGATCCTTAGGAAGGACTCTGCTGTGTCCCTAAAGTTTCAGAGGCCAGTATAACTGAAGCCTCACACGTAAGGTGAGAAGTAGCAAGATAGGGCCAGAGAGCTCGACAGGCCAAGTCATGGGTAGAAATTTGGATTTTATTTTCAGTGTACATGGAAAGGCCAGTGAAGATATTAAGCATGATAAGCCTGTGCCATAATTTGTTTCATCAGTCCTTTGTAGATGTACATGTAGATTGTTTCCAGAGTTTCAATAATATAAAGCAGCATTAGAATGTGAACTTTATGAGAACAGGATCTTACCTGTTCTGTTCACTAAATAATCCCCTTACTCTTTTAAACAGCCTGACACAAAACAGGCTTTCAGTAAACTTTTTTTTTTTTTTGGTACCAGGGATCAAATTCGGGTCCTTGTGCTTGTGAGGCAGGCGGCTGAACCACTGAGCTAAATCCCCAGCCGGCTTTCAGTAAACGTTGGTTGAATTAACAAATGCTACAAAAAATATTTGCATATCTCTGTACATTATTCTCATTATTTCATCGAAATTCATTTCTAGTTGTGAAATTGCCGGGTTAAAGAGTTTATTTAAAGTTTTGCTTTTAAAATAAAATGCCTTCCAAAAAGATTATACTAATTAATACATCTCTAAAAGCATTTCAGAATTTAAACAAAACTCTTAGGTTTAGGAGTGCTAGATTAGATTCATCAAAACTAGGAACGTTTTCAGATATTTACAATTCCTGCTCAGTTGTATTTTTCTTTGAGACTCTAGGTCAGTGGCAGCAAACCTCTGGGATGCATGCCACAGCAGGCACACAGAGCCCTGTCTGTTGGCATGCAACCCAAGTCGCCCCAGCTGCTGAGCATCAGATAATAGTTGTTTTTTTCTAAACTAAAATTGAATACTTGAGTATTCAATTGCGGTGTTGGCACTTTGCGTTAAGTAAGTGGGTTTCAGGTTGCAGTTTGGGCATTCAGTCTCTAAAAGGTTTGCCATCACTGCTCTAGGTGCATAGGAATGTTTCTTTCCCAGGCCATAGGCTAATAATAAAGATAGGGACTATTTCTTTGGTTTACCACATATCTCAATACTTTAGCAAAGTGATTGGCCCATAACAATACTCAGTGAATATTTTAACTGATTTTACTGCCACTCACACCAGAGGTTTCCAATGTTGGTAGACAAGTCTGCACTTTATGGTACAGGGAATATTGTAAAATCGCGATCTTTTCAAAATCAATAGTATGAGTTATTGGTGTGTTATAAGAAACAGATACAGCAGAGTACTAAAGGGTATGGCTTCTAAGGAGGTTTATTTCTGGCCCTGCCACCTACTATCTTGGATAAGCCATTCTAATTTCTCATCTGAAAATGATAGTAGTCATAGGATCATAGAATTAAATAAGTCCCATGAAAAGTATCTAGAATTGTACCTATCATTACTATGTTAATTCTTTGGATAATTACTAAATATGTTTTTTGTTTGTCTCTTTTTTAAACAGCTAGAAGAAAAACTCAAAGAAAAAGTCGATGTAAGTCTCACAGAACGAATCAATCTCACGGGAGAAATGGACACATTCAGCACGTATGTACCTTGCACATGTCTGCTCAAGGGTGCTTGTCTTTTCTCCCTCATGGGGTGGCACATGTCAGGCTGCTAGCTTTAGTCACTACAGAACCTAAGAAGTTTCTAGGGCCTTCTTTTGGACTGGGATTATTCTCCACTAGCCACTAAGAACAAGCATTAGAATTAACAGCTGCCTCCTGTTCTGCCTGTTCTGCCTCCTCATTCTCTTAGTTTATAGGTGTGGGGAAGGTATCTTTGTGGTGACACTATCTGGAATAACAAAGAGAAGAAATCATCCCTTGGCCATTCCTGCAAGAAAGTTTGGTTCCAGGGCCTCCCATCTGCCCCCACCTAAATTCACAGAGGGTCAGGCCACCTTCTGTGTTTTAGAACAGAAACTGTAATTGGCAGGATTTTAGCCATCAAAAGTATAAAAGTGTGTGCATGCTTCTGTGTGCCCGCACACGTCTGTGTGTGTGTGTGTGTGTGTGTGCGCGCGTGTAAGAGAGAGGGATGGGGGGGAGAGACACTTAGGGAGCTGAGGGTGGACTCTGTCAAACAATAAAGCCTTTTTGGAATATTTTGGAATATTTCTCTCCCTGGGATGACCTTGCAGTATTTCTGTTGTTTTCAGTTCCTAGTCCACTGCCATTAAATAGGTTAGAGATGGATCCAATTTCAGCTCTCATTCAGCCATTTATTGAAGAAAATTTAAAATTCTCAGTTTATTTCCTCCTCTCCTTTTGGTACCAGGGATCGAACTCTGGACCTTGCACTTGTGAGGCAGGCGGCTGCGGAACCACTGAGCTAAATCCCCAGCTATTTCCTCCTCTTAACTCTTTGCTATTGTTGTTCTGATTTAAAACAATTATATAAAACAGATACTTTTGGAGGAGAACTTGAAAAGGGATTCTCGAACTAGCCCTGAAAGCTGAGGTCCTGACTGAGTGGAGACATACCCAGATAAGACCAGTACATGAAAAAAGAACCAACTGCTTCTCCATTGTCATTAATTCAAACTGTGATCAAATTGTGATGAAATAATGAATCTTAATTTTATACAGGTGCCTGATAGATTGGAAGGAGCTGAGTCAGTCATTCAAATGGTGATTTTGTTAAGCAGTGACCACAATACTTTGTTTGACTTGCAGTGTCATCTCCAGCAGCATTCAGTTGTTGGTTCAAGACCTGGATGCGGCCTGTGATCCTGCCCTGACTGCCATGAACAAGGTAGGGTTTTTTTTTCTTTTTGGTACCGGGGATCGAACTCGGGTCCTTGCCCTTGCGCAGCAGGCGGCGAAACCACTGAGCTAAATCCCCGGCCCAAGGTAGGGTTTTAAGAACTGGGTTCTCCCTAGACTTCCAAGAGTGACCGAAATAGTTTCTCTTGGCCCTTGCTGGTAGCTTCTTTTAGACTCTTTTTTTTTTTTTTTTTTTGGTACCAGGGATCAAACTCGGCACCTTGCGCTTTCGAAGCAGGCAGCAGAACCACTGAGCTAAAATCCCCAGCCCTTCTTTTAGACTCTTTAATGCTTAAAGTGTCAGCTGAGAGGAGAATGGAAAGACCTCATGGAGTTCCTCAAAGTGCAACACTTATCTTTCACCTTTCATCATTGCTTATCCTTTGAGAATGAGACTGGGAATAAATCTGTTTGGTGAATCTAAAGGAGATGTTGTCTTTGATTAGCATCTGACTTGCTAAAACCATAATGTGGCTAAAACCAAAATGGGTATTTTCATTCAGTTTTAAAGCAGTAACTTCTGACTCATTCTTCATTCTTGCCCACTGAGAGGTTTTATGACTTTCTGAGATTTGGTGCCAATACAAAATTATTTGATCAACTTGTGCACTCGGGTTTCCTAATGTCCTCATGCTCCATCAGTTTAAGGCCTTGAGTCTTAAATTCCCTCCTTCGACACTTACTATGTGCTATCCCATGTTGCTGTTTTTGGCTTTTGTCTTTCTGTGCCTTTTCTTCCCCAAAGAATGTGTGGACCCTGTACACCACCCTTCTTCTCTCATGTATCTTCAATATAGAAGACTCTCATATCTGTTGATCAAGTTAAAAATAGATAATTCTTTATTGACTTTTTAAGCCCAAATTCTGTAACATGAAGCTGTGCATTTTACAACCTTGTAAAACATGAAGAGTTGACAAACAGTAAAATCTGACTGGGCCAAATCTGGCCCACTACCTTTTTTAAAAATAAATATTTATTGGAATGCAACTAGGTCTGTTTATATACTATCTATAGCTGCTTTTGTGCTGCAACCATAGAATTGAGTAATTGTAACAGAAACCATATAGGCCACAAAGCCAAAATATTTATTATCTGAGACTTTACAGAAGAAGTTTTCCAGTGCCTGCTCTAGGGTCACAGGCTCTTATAGCATTCTTGAAAATTTTAGAGAAGGAACTTCTGTGGGGCACATTAGCCCCAGAAGACAATAGAAAGAATCGTGACTTTGGAATCGGACACACCCAGCTCTTCCAGTTTTTCCTTAGAGGGTGCTGAGGAAAGACTTAACCTGTCTGGGCCCGTCACCTCCCGTGTGTGAAGTGTGGCTTTCTGCCTGCCAGAGTTGTGAGGTAGAGCATGAGGAAAGTGCCTGGTCTAGTGCCAGCCACATAGTAAATGCTCAGTAGGTGTTAGTTCTTTCCTTCTTGTCAGGAGGAGTGACATGTCACAGATTCTGTAACCAGACATCTGATTTGAAGTAGATTATAAATAACAAAATAGAACAAAAACCAAAACTTTTGCTTTGGGGTTCTAATGAGTAAAATGGGAAGTTGTGAAATAGCTATTGTCATAGTCTATTCAAAAAGGTGATCTTCTCACCAGATGCTGATAAGTATTTTCATTGTTTATAAGCAGATACTCTAAGCAGGCAGATTGAGGCTAATCCATTTTCTTAAAGGAACATGGCTGTGAGGATTCATTTTGTAGGTTCTGATTATCCCCTTGCTGCTGGTGAGCGTTCACTACATCCTGAATGTGATCTGTTCCAGCTGCCATGGCTCCTGAGCTACCACACAGTGCAGCCTGGAATGCAGCTGGTGAAAGAATTTTCACATTGACCAAGGGAAGATTGGAAGTTTTTTTCTTTCAGTAAAATAACAGTTGGAGGAGGTTTCACACTCCAGGTGTTGCTTATATGAACTGTCAGTTCATTAGGTGGATTTCCCTCCAGTGCCCCTCATACCCCAACATCCATTTCTCCCCCAGACCCACAGCAGGAAAGATTAACAGAGACCATACCTCCAGAATCTTTTGTTTATGTCATAGGAAAACCACAGACTTGGGAACACAGCAGCTGTGAGGCCATTACTTTTTGTCTGAGTCTTCTGCAGTTCTAGCAAAATGAAATCCATGTGATGAAAATAAACATGCCAAGTGGTCACAAATTGATTCAACACACACCCTGTGTTATTTGTGCCTACATCCTGCTTTGTGTAATTTTTTTTCTAGGATTAAAAAATCTTTTTGATAGTGATTATTTCTGTCTCTTAATTCCATCATTTTTGCTGCTAGTTGGACAGTTCAACTCATACTCATACTCAGCACAGTGCTAGGAGCTGTAAGGGCAGGAAGGACATAGACATTATCCTAAAGTGCTTAGATGCTAGTAGATGAGAGGTAAGAGATATGTGAGGTGAGAGGAATGCTCACATAACTGTAATAGAAGGCCTGAAGAAATCAGTATCATAAGAAAAATACAAAATTTTAAAGGAGAAAGTTTGTATGTAGTAGGACAATCAAGAAAAGCCTTTGTAAGCAAGTGGTATTTGAAAGAGAAGAGGGCAAAGTTTTGAATAATTGTGATTATAAGAACATTCCAGGGGCTGGGGATTTAGCTCAGTGGTTTCGCTACCTGCTGCGCAAGCGCAAGCACCCGAGTTCGATCCCCGGTACCAAAAAAAAAGAACATTCCAAAGGGGTGACAATGCTTGAAAAGCTCAGAAATTTGTCAGAATTGCCAATCTTAATAAATATCTTAGGAATTCCACATAATACTCTGTCTTGGACAGACATAGTCAAGATTAGAAACAAGGCTGCCCTCGAGTTTATATTACTTTGGGGAGAAAACTCAGGATAACCATTGGATAAATAGATGTGTTTTATAAATTGTGTGTAAAATAAATAAATAAATAAAAATAAAAAATAAAAATAAAATAAATTGTGTGTAAAATGAGAGTTGGGATTGCCAAAGTGGAACAGAGTTGTTGAATGATTCTGAGTGGATGGAAGGAGGCTTCCTGGACAAGATGGACTGAATTGAGCACCGTGGTCATGTCGTTCTCCTAGGAGGAAACCAGAGTGCCCCATAATCTCCTCCTTAGTTGGCATACAGGACTTTCATTTTTTGTCCTTTCACTACCTGCTAGCTTAATATTTACCTCTCCTGTGTATGTAACCTATACACCAACCATTTTCACTTCCCTGAATATGTATTGCATTATTTTGTGGCTCCCATGCCTTTTCTCATTCTGTTCTTTCTGCCTAGAATTATCTTCCTACTTACTATTGTCTGCTTATCACTACCTCCTTTGATCCAGTTCAAATATCTGTCTCTTTTCTAAAATTGAGGTGTAATTCATATAACACAAGATACATTCCCTGTAAAGTATACAGCTTACTGGGTTTTAGTATTTACATAAAGTTATATAGCTACCACAACTAATTCCAGAACATCTTCATCACCTCCATAATGTGGATTGAACTCAAAACCTTCACATTGAGTTATATCCCTTGCCCTTTTTTTTCTTTTTTTGCTTTGTTTTGTTTTTGGTACTGGGGATCGAACTCGGGTCCTTCCGCTTGTGAGGCAGGCAGCGGAACCATTGAGCTAAATCCCGGCCCATCCTGCGCCCTTTAAAAAAAAAAAATTCTTTTTAGAGTTTTGAGACGAGAGTCTTGTTAAGTTGGCTGAGCTAGGCTCAGGCAAAACTCCTGCCTCAGTGTTACTATTAGGATTCCAGGTATCCACCACCATCCCCAGGTTACAGTTATCTCTGTCTTACCTGTTTTTTTTGTGTGAATTCCAAAACCACTTTATTGCCTTGCTTCGACTGTTAATACCACTGGAGTACTGTAAGACAACAGGTGATATAAAAGCATGCACAGACGTCAGAATTTTTAAGATGGGAATTTGGTCTGAACTTTACCTGATTTTTTAAAAATGGGGTAGGAGCAAGACCACTTTCAGAATTTACATATCAGGTTAACCTTTAGAACAACTGCTAAGTCATGTAATTAAAAACACAATTTTTTTATAAACCACTTAATATATATTTTTGTACATAGTCTGCTATGCAAGGAAAAAATTAGAAATGTTTTTTAGATAAGACTTGACTTCTGGGCTTCAGCAAGATGTGGAAACTTTTCTTGCGGAGCTTTCTGTTTCTTTTTCTCCAAAGTTTTCTTTCTTGCTGAAATGTGGGCTTGTTTCTCAGTTCTCAGTCTGATAAAACAATCCACATAAGGCATTGCAAAGAATCGTTTCCTGTTATATCTTTTATTTAAGTACCAAGGTATAGGCCACTACTTGAACTTGTGCCAAATGATTCTTCCAAAGATGTCTCTTCTCCAAGCACCAGGTCTAGCTTTTTCTTGCCCAGTCTGGAGAAGCCTCAAAGCATCTTCTCTTTCCTGGACAACTTTATCTAATGCATCCATGGAATCAACTACCTTTTCTAACCATTCTGGACTTGGCATTGGCAAACATTACGCTTAGCCTCCTGTTCTAGAGTTAGAAGCATGTTTCTTTCTTTCAGTAAGACGTACCAAAGTTTATGTAAATCTTCATTACTTTTATTCCTTAATTGCTGACAGGTCCATGCAGCTCCAGATTTCACTTTTTCTTGCCCCCAATTCTTTGAGTCATCAAAAAATTCTTCTAGTCCTCTTCTTGACAGTGTGGTCTGAAGTAATCTACACTGATGAAAGGATGTGACATTTGGTGCATTCTTAGTTAACAAACTCAGAGAAAACCCTGAGCTAGCAGGGGTCTTAGGAGTTATTAATGACCCAGAAGCCTTCAGAACTGCTGAGACTCGTCTACAAAAAGTAGCCACACTGGCCACAGCCTTTCTTTTTCCACACACCTCTGTCTTACATATTAAACCCTAAACAACTTGAGGGCAGAGTCCTACTTCATGGCATAGCACAGTACTTGCTTTAAGTAATGGTCCCTGAATGACTTAGAAGATAAATGCAGCAGAAAGAAG